GGAAGAGAGGGGGGGGGGGGCGGCGGGAGATGAGAAATAAATAAGTCCAGTCTCTCCAAAATAACGCGCGCAATCTTATCGCGTGCGTATATTCGGTGGATTTTCATGTTTGCACGACGCGACGCGTTACGCATCGTAAACTTATTTACATACCGCACGGATTATCGTTGACGTTTTATACATGGCGATAGAGACTCGCGTAATTCGAGAGTTATATTGAATTGGTCCAAAACATAAAAAGATAGACGTTATCTTAATTCGTTTTTTAATCTTTTTTTAATCTCGCGGCAACGAAAAATATACGCACCAGAAAAGTTTTAGCTCCAGTTTACGAAAAAAAATAAAAAAATAAAAAAAATAAGACGCGCAGTTTTTGATACGTCATTATATTTATACGATATTAATATATTCGCTATCGAGATTAACCACGGTCGATTTAATAATTCACGTTTTTGATTTGTCAGCGTCGATTTAAGTTTAATGTATTTTTAAATCGATCGAAAGAGTTTGATACGCAGAGGAGGGGGCGGTGAGCGTGTTAAATGATTTTTCGTAGTAATCTGAACGGTAGAAAAAATGTAGATGAGAAATCGGCAAGTTTTCATTCATAAAATGTTGCGCGAAGATTTTCAAGATTTTTCGCGCGAGGCGACGCGACGCGTCGTTCAATTTTACGCACGAAGCTACAGTGCGCACCGCGACGATCGCACGTCATAGCATCGAGTACGATGACACATCATCAACGAGACGAATCGAGACCTTTTTTCATTGATAATTGTCAATTTACTCCGTTGTGCTCGTCTCGCGCGCGGCACGCGAGGGGACCTACGGGAAATAACAGCATCGCGTAACTCACGGCGAGCGAAGCGTAGATAAACGATCCCAGAGACCAATTGGAGAGAGCCTTTGCCACGCGGCATTCTTTCTCTTTCTTTCTCTCTCTCTCTCTCTCTCTCTTTCTTTCTCTCCCTCTCCCTTAATCGCGTTGGTGTGTGTAGGTTCGATTCGCACGCCGCCATAACATGGCGCGGGTATTTCGAATATTCAAACTATTCTTTCCCACGCAAATCTCGCAGCTCGACGAATAATTAAATAGCGGATTATCTATTGAATTATTTATACACGTACTTGCAAGAATCTACAGTTTGTAAAATAACTTTGCATTTTATACATGGATTAAAAATAGCGCAAATTATTTTTACGCGCACAATATTTATTATTATTGTCTTTAATTATGATTCTGAATGAGAGACATCATGGATGTGTATGTGCGTGTGATGCGTAAGAGAAAATCCGGTGTCGGTGCAGCATGTTGCGCTCTGGGAAACGAAAATCCCACGCAGCATCCAGGAAGTGGTGAGGGGTGGTACCGGATGCATTTCAATGAGGGGAGACGAGAGCGAACGAGTTCACGTAAAACAATTCTTTCTGCTTTTGGCAAAGAGAGAGAGAGGGAGAGAGAAAAAGAGACCACCGATCTCTTTCATTGTCCACCGCAGGAGTGCATTTCAGCGAGGTGTTTGGTTGCACAGGTTGCGCTTTGTAATCCGTAATAAAGCGAAGGCTCTGTTACGTACTTCCTTTCTGCGATATTTGTTACAAAATATGGTCGACAGAATCGTCAATGAATTTGTATCAAATAATTAAAGAGGCTTATACAGAGAGAGAGAGAGAGAGTATATTCAAATTGAAACGCGTTGCAAAATACAATACAATAATTAATCAGCTGATTGTTTTATTATCCATTATTTATATTTTGCTTTTTTCTTGGAGAAGTCCTTGATGAAATATTATTTAAAAATCTACCGCTGCATTATTGGATACATTATATTGGATATTGACAAAGCTTTTATTTATGCAATCTTAAAAAATTGCACGTATCGCAAATAATTACTGACGATAAAAAAAAAAATAAACATGTTTCTCGCGTTACGGATGGCATATTGCGCGTGTATTTGTAAGACGATCAGATTATTTCAGAAGGAAATCGGTGTTTATTCGCGGGCGAGGCGCGCGACCGGAAGACGCGCGGCCGCATCTGCGTCGCGTGTTTGCCAGCAAAAGAGTCACCTGTTTCATCATTTTGCTATCAAAGCCGGGCTTACCCTGAGACCGGCGCGTGTTATCTCATCGCGTGCTAGCGGTAACGGGCACGAAGCTGCATAGTCGCGATAAATCACTTTTATCAAGCTCAAGGTGGTGGTGGATCGAGATCGAGGTTGAGAACGGGTGCACTGTTTCGCAAAAGAGGTCTTTTCTCCGAGACACGTCGGTATCTAGCGAAATGGAAATCTTATGCCAAACAGGGATAAATCGGTCAGTTTTTGCAAAAATGCTAGAAATTGAAATATTAAAATTGTTCAAGAATCGAATAATCGATTAAATCTCTGTTAGCTTTAATTTATATTTGTGAAAACGTTCTATATTTAATATTTAAAAATACATACGATAATACAACACACATTCACACTTTCATAGAGCTTTCAAAGAATGGAGGCTTCTTGTTTTGAGCATCTGACATTATTATCCGTTCGCATTCGCGGAAGGTTCTTTATCGGAAAGATTCTCAATGCTTGGTCAGAGAACAATGTGTGTGGTATATATCGTACAGCAATATCCTTTGTCGTCGTCGCGATTGTGCCCACTTCCGTGGGAATTCGCAGAACGGAAGTGCAATTTCTGGCTGGTACCGCGTCGTGTCCAGCTTCCATGGTAGCGACGCGAAAAAAAGCGATCCTTAAAGAAACGATGCCAGGTGCAACGCACTCTCTCGCGTCTTCTCATGACGAATACTCCGGATTTAATTCGACGAAATCGTGATACTCGTGGTATTAGTCTCTCTCAGACAGCGAGAGTGTTTTACGGAAAAGATACAGTCGATGAAAGACGACAATTCGCAATCATAAGATTTTGTAGCATTTAATGCGATAAGTGAGTTGCGCTCTGATAACATCAAAAAAGAAAGTTTATGCTATTAAAAGTTACTTTATTAATGTTATAAATCAAGGTTACTATTGAAATTATACATTATTATAATTTATATTATTAAAGATTACGATGCTGAATTATTAATTCAATTTTAAAGATTTAAATGCCTGGCGACAAACGTTACAAAATATACTCATCCATTATAGATAGATGTTTGGCGTAATACAATATAATTAGGTTGCGCATAATTTACGTAAACTTCAAGCATGCAATTCTCTGCCTTTTCCTAAGCATGTTTATGAAAATGGGAAAGAAAGCAAAAGGAATATATTGGAGTACACAGTTTTTTTTTATAAATATTATAGAAATATATTAACTATTTTTACATTTGTCTATATCGCGCGGATTATTTACTCCAAATTATAAATATCAATTGAATATAATCACGTGTATTGCACGTTCATTTCTATAAATATTAAATTGAATAAAATCACATGCGGTGCTTTAAAATTAACATAATTGAATTTAATTGGACAAATCACACGTAATCTAGTCACTTCTTTCAGATATTAATAAAATTCGTTAATTAAAATAAAGAATTTTGCTTTGGTTTCTTCGAGACATGTTGGCATCATGCCTCCTCTGACTAGAATTTATAAACTAATTATAAAATAATTCAGTTCAATTAATAAATTGACAATTTGAGAATGTAGTTTTATCACATTTGTTTTAGGACTTTATATTCCCCGTTTTCTCGCTCTTCGTATAAAAATCTAAATCTTACTAATTTTACTCTAAATTTTAGAGAAGAAATTTGCAAGTAATTTTTAATATTCATTGAAGATGAATCACAAGTTTTGAAATTAAACATTTATATAGTTTTTTTTTTTGTACGAGGAGCAATTTCTATCTCGTAGCTGCGATTGTCTTTGCTATTATCTAGTATATCGAATAATATTTTTACGATTTTTCTAGTTTAGCTTTTTTCGTCGGATTTTCATTCATCGGTTCGTCATTTCTTCTTCTTGAATTTTTGTCTGTTTCTTCTATCTGTTTTTCCTGCTCGTTTCTATTTTGTTCTTCGTTAATTAAATTTGTGGGATCAGAAATTTCGTTTCCGTATTGGTCTGTTTTTACCCACTTGAAACGTCCAGGTAGTGGCATTTCATGCTTAAAATCAAAGTTCCATTTTTTCATGTCCTGTACATCAATAAATATCAAAATTTTAAATCACTTAATCGATATCTAATCTATTTTGCGTAGGATTACTTTATCGAGATATAATTATTTAATAGATTAGAAATAATTTTAATGAACGATTGTTTGGATTTAACTTATTGGAGAAAAATCGTTCGTTTCTTACCTCTTCTGATCTTTGTCGGCTTTCTTCGATAATACGATTGTAAAAGTTCTGTTCCTCGCCGTCGCTGTCATTTTCATCTGCAAAAAGTTTTCTACGCGTGTTCCGTAGACCATTTATCGATGTATTGACACGTTCTTCCATCATCAACCAGGCTCTTGTAAAAAAAGTTAAAATTTTAACGATAAGTTCTCAAATTTATTTTTATATTTATTAAAATAATTGCTCACATATTGAAAAACCTTCTCTTTTTTTATGTTTTTCATAAATTTCTTATAATTTTAATTATATTCACGCAAGAAAATAATTTTATCTTGTATAGATATGGATATTTCTTTTACGAGTCTTGATTCTTTTATCAAATATAAACACAGATTAATCTCATAAATGAATTTGAAAAATTAATATATAAATTAATTTTGTTTACATTTTTATCTGTTCATACAATGCACTTAACGTATAAGAATGAATAATCGTAAATCTAAATTATTGTATTAGAAATGTGACAAATATTTTTTTTGAAATTTCTCTCGTTTTTTTCTCTTATCACATATTATTTTTTATACGTTGCGTTATTTTAATTTTGAAAGAATGTATTTGTTTTTATGT